CAACATCACCACCAGATGGATTTGTAGCTGGCTGACAAACCACATTTAATGAGTAGTCGTTAATGGTACTACATCCACATGGAGAAGAATAAGCAGTGGGGTACCACAAGGCTCCGTCTTAGGCCCAGTACTTTTCAATGTCTTCATCAATGACTTAGATGAGGGAATAGAAGGGGAACTCATCAAATTGGCAGGAATAGCCAACACATAACTAGTAGCCAGCACGGGTTTGTTAAAAACATGCCAAACCAATCTTATCTCATTCTTCGATAAAGTCACTAAACTAGTAGACCAGAGAAAAGCAATGGACGCATTATACTTAGATTTCAGTAAAGCATTTGACAAAGTAGACCACAACCTATTAATTGACAAACTAGGAAAAACTGGAATAGACAACACCACCACCAGATGGATCTGTAGCTGGCTGACAAACCACACTCAACGAGTAGTCCTCAATGGCACTACATCCACATGGAGAGAAGTAAGCAGTGGGGTACCACAAGGTTCCATCTTAGGTCCAGTACTCTTCAACATCTTCATAAATGACTTAGACAAGGGAACTGAAAGGAAACTCATCAAATTTGCAGATGACACCAAACTGTCAGGAATAGCCAACACTCCAGAAGACAAACTCAGGATCCAAAAAGATCATGACAAACTTGAACAATGGGCCCTATCCAACAAAATGAGTTTCAATGTGGAAAAAAGCAAAATCTTACATTTAGGCAGGAAAAACCAAAGGGGCGAATATAGATTGGGCGAGACCCAGCTTAAAAACAGTAACTGTGGAGAGGGACTTTGGAGTCCTAGTGGACCATCACCTGACTATAAGCCAGCAGTGTGCAGCAGCAGCCAAAAAGACTAATACAATCCTGGGTTGTATAAACAGAGGCATAGAATCGAGATCACGAGAAGTGTTGATACCGCTTTACAAAGCCCTAGAATACTGTAGCCAATTCTGGTCACCACATCACAAAAAAGATGTTGAGAGTTTGGAAAAAAATCGGAGAAGAGCAACTAGGATGATCAAAGGCCTGGAGGCTAAAATATACAAAGAACAGCTGCAGGATTTGGGTTTGGCTAGTCTAAAGAAAAGAAGAAATAGGGGAGACATGATAACAGTGTTTCAGTATCTGAGGGGCTGCCACAAGGCAGAAGGGGTCAGGTTGTTCACCAGAGCACCAGAGGGAAGGACTAGAAACAATGGTTGGAAACTGATCAAGGAGAGAAGCAACCTGAATTTAAGGAGAAACTTCCTGACAGTGAGGACAATCAACCAGTGGAACAGCCTACCCCTAGAGATTGTGGGCACCCCATCACTGGAGATCTTTAAGAAGAGACTGGACAATCACCTGTCTGAGATGGTGTAGGTTCTCCTGCTTAAGCGGAGGGCTGGACTAAAAGATCTCCAAGGTCCCTTCCAGTTCTATTCTATTCTATTCTATTCTAACAAGCTCAGGATCCAAAAAGATCTTGACAAACTTGAACGATGGGCCCTATCCAACAAAATGAAATATAATGTGGAGAAGAGCAAAATTTTACATTTACACAGAAAAAATCAAAGGTATAAGTACAGATTAGGCAAGACCTGACTCAAAAAGAGTAACTGTGAGAGGGACCTTGGAGTCCTAGTGGACAATCGCTTGAGTATGAGCCACAAAGGCACAAGACAAGGATGTCCATTATCTCCATTATTATTTATATTAACACTGGAAGTATTGAATAGAAATATTAGGCAAGATTCAGAAATTAAAGGAATAGAGATAAAAGATGAAAAATATAAACTACAAGCATTCGCGGATGACTTGGTCTTTATATTAGAAGAGCCGCTTGAGACAAGCCTCAAACTTTTGAAAAAGATAGAAGAATTTGGAGAAGTGGCAGGGCTGAAAATAAATAGAGAAAAACCAAAGTGATAACTAAAAACCTTACAGATAAACAAAAAACCAACTGTCAGAAAAAAATATACCTTCAAATAGTCAAGAAAGTTAAATACTTGGGATATACTTAACCACAAGATGTGCAACAATAAAAGAAGACAACTATGTAAAATTATTAAAACAAATAAAACTAGTCTTGGAAAAATAAAAAAAAATTCCAACTTTCAATGCTAGGGAGAATAGCAACGGTGAAGATGAATATTTTACCAAAATTACTTTTTTTTATTTCAAACAATACCTATAAATCTGGGGGGGAATTCTTTGATGAATTAAATACATTGATCTTGAAATTTATTTGATAAAGGAAAAAAGCCAGAATTAAATTGAAAATGCTACAAGAAGCGAAAGAAAATGGAGGATTTGGGCTGCCAGATTGGGCTTTATATCATCAAGCATCTGTATTAACATGGTTAAAAGAATGGTAACTCTTAGACATAAAAGATTACTATACCTAGAGGGGCATGACCTACAACTCGGATGGCATGCCTTCCTGTGGTATGGAAAGAATAAAATACATAGATACTTTCAAAACCACTATATAAGAAATGCACTTCTTCTAGAATAGGAAAAGGTAAAAGCGAAAATTTACATGAAAATACCTAGATGACTTTCAACAATGGAAGCGTTTGTTCACCCAAACCTAATTAACTATGAGAAAATTGTGACTTATAAAGACATTTTGAATATTGAAGGGAAACTAAAAACCAAACAAGAACTGGAAGAACAGGGCATTGATCTATCATGATGGGCACACCTGCAAATTCAAACCAGATATGAAAAAGGTGCTAAAACATCTGGATTTTATAAAGAACAGACAGAATTTGACCAGATACTATTGACATCAGATGAAAAATTAATTAAGAAACTGTATAAGTATATGTTAAATTTAAAGATGGAAGAGGAACAAGTTAAAGAAACAATGATAATATGGACAAAAAACTTTGGGCATAACATAGAATTAGAAAACTGGTAAAGCCTTTGTGAAAGAAACTCTAAAATAACGAGGGCAGTAGCTTACAAGGAAGACCTATATAACATGTTTTACAGATGGCACTTAACATCTTTGAGGTTAGCAAAAATGTTTAAAAATATGTCTAGCAATTGTTGGAAATGTAGACAAAAACCAGGCACATGCTATCATCTTTGGTGGACATGCCCTAAAGCCAAAAGATTTTGGTTAGAGAAAATGACTAGAAAAAATATAGATTTTAAGCCAGAATTATTTTTGTTAGGAATAATTATAGGAAATTATGAGAAGGAATGTGTATATTTAATGTTACATGTGTTAACTGCAGTGAGAATTGTATTTGCTCAACATTGAAAAGATGATGAACTACCGGTGGAGGAAGAGATAATTAAGAAAATTGTGGACTGTGCAGAAATGGACAGACTGACATTGAAAATGAAAGAGAAAGAAGATTCAGAATATTTTAGAACATGGGATACATTTTATCAATGGCTAGAAAAACGAGTTAGAAAGAAAGGAATTTAACATGCATTAGTAAGCTAAATATTGGAACCCAGACAACATGTTGCTGATAAAATATTAAGGATTTGTGACTAAAAAAAATTAATAAAATATTGATAAATTTTTTTTAAATGCATGCTTATTTTCCATACTCCAAGCTCTACTATATAGTGTTTAAAAATCCATGTACTTGTAGATTACTTCTTGGTTTTTGTCTCCAAGCGCAAGGGGGATCCCTTAAAACCTTTTGTTCAACCTCGCCCTACTTCAGCCAAACACCTTCTACGGTGCTGTGATATAAACAGCCCATTACCTACAAAACTGAGACCAGAACCTGTGGAACTAAGTATCTTACATCAAGACGATTTTCACTGACTTTTATTTGAATGAAATTTAAACTGCTTATTTGCATCACTTCAGTTCATCTTAGGATTTTACCTAAATGGAAAAAAATAATTATATGGAATCCAGATTTACTCCTATAAGAGGAAATACTGGATTCTACATCTCAAAGGAAGGATTATTTATTTGGTAAATGTGCTGTCCAGGCCTGTTCTCTGATAGCATCAAGTCTCTATTTATTAAAAATAAATACTGTAGCCAAATACCTGCAATTCTGGGATTCCAGTAACATATATAATAAATAGTTGTGCAATACAGGTCTTCCTTGACTTACCGTTCACTTAGTGACCGTTCAAACTTTCAACGACACTGAAAAAAAGTGACTTATGATCATTGCAGCATCCCCAGGGTCATATGATCAAAATTCAGATGCTTGGCAACTGACTCGTCTGTATGACATTGCAGTGTCTTGGGGTCATGTGATCACCTTTTGTGACCTTCCAATAAGCAAAGACGGCGGGTAAATCAGAATCACCTAACAACCATATTACTAACTTAACAACTGCAGTGATTCACTTAACATCTGTGGCAAGAAAGATCGTAAAGGGGGGCAAAATTCATTTAACAATTGTCTTACTTAGCAGCAGACATTTAGAGCTCAGTTGTGGTCATACGTTGAGGACTACCTGTACCACAAAACTGCTTAAATAAAACCAGTGATATATGTAAAAGTAAAAGGGGTGCCAGCCCAGGCCATCCACATCCATTCCTCCCTTAGCCAGTCTAGAGGAAAATCTCACTGCAACCCACCATTCACCTAAAAGGGTTTCCACCACTGCTTTCAATGTGAAAGGAAGCTTTCTGTTTTCGTATGTAGAATCTTCCAGTCACTCCCTGCCCTTTCTAGTCTCCTCTCCCAAAGCCCTGGGAGTGATTTCCAGTCAGGGTAAACAGTACTATATCTTTTTTTTATTACAGAGAATCTGTAAGTGAAGTATCATATTGTATCACAAACGCAGCACAAGGTGGTGCTATTGCATAAACAGAGAACAATATCTAAAAGCCAACTGCTCTTCTGGTGGCCTGCAAAAAAAAAAAAAATATTAACACATTATTATGCACACGGACCTCAAAGACAAAGGCAACAGAGCTTTATGAAAAGCAGACTTAAGAAATCTGGGGGAGGGAGAAATTGTCCAGTACAAGATACAAAGATAGGACAAAATAAAGATTCCTTGGGAGGAATAACTATGGGCAGTGATTCCTGGGTTTCCATTCTGCATTCAAGTGAACCTGGATCAATGGAAAGAGGTTGCATTAAAAGGCAAGTTTTGGCTTTTTCTCTCTGCCTAAATATTCTCTGTCTAGAAATGTGTGCGTCTTTGCGCTATTCAGTGGCTGAAGAAAAGAAAACTGGGTTTCTAGTAGCTAACATGCTGAAAGACTTAAAAATAGATGTAAAGGAATTATCTGCTAGGAAAGCCAAGCTAGTTCCAAAGGGCTCTAAAGAGTATTTTCAGCTAGATCCTCATTCTGGGAATCTAATATTAAAGGATACAATTGACCGAGAGGTTCTGTGTGGCCAGAATGACCCCTGTATTCTATTCTCTGAAATTGTGCTAGAAAATCCATTACTGCTACATGGAATTGAAGTAGAAGTAGAAGATGTGAATGATAACATTCCCAAATTCTCTAAAACTGAGTTTCTTTTTGAAATATCTGAGCACATTCCAACAAAGACCAGATTCCCTTTGGAAAGGGCTGAAGATTTAGACAAAGGAGAAAATGATGTTCAGAATTATATACTTGCTCCTAATGAACACTTTAAACTAGAAGTGCAAACTTACACTGATGGTAGCAAATATGCAGAACTGGTTTTAGAGAAAGCATTAGACCGTGAGACGATTCCTCAGATTATCCTAATTCTACAAGCAGTGGATGGAGGGATCCCAAGGAGAACTGGTACAGTGCAAATAATAATTGATGTTTTAGATGCAAATGATAATGTTCCTCATTTTGAACAATCTGTGTACAAAGTGCAGCTTGTGGAAAACAGCCCACCAGGTTTATTGGTCACAAAAGTTGCAGCCAGTGATGGTGATAAAGATGCTTATGCTCACATTACTTACACTTTTAGCCAAGTACCAGGAAATGTGCTCAGATCATTCAAGTTAAACAATCTTACTGGAGAAATTACTCTTGTAGGGAAAATTGATTATGAAGAAAATAGCAAGTATGAACTGAATATCAAAGCCACAGATGGAGGGGGACTGTCTGCTTACTGCAAAGTCCAGGTGGATATTGAGGATGAGAATGACAATGTTCCAGAAATAACCCTATCATCTGTCACTAATCCCATACCAGAAGATTCTTCCCCAGGAATAGTGGTGGCCCTCTTTGGTGTAAGAGATCAAGACTCTGGAGACAATGGCAGAACTACCTGCAATACTGATAAAAAACTGCCTTTTATATTAAAACTGACTGAGAACAATTATTACCAGCTTGTGACTCAACAGCCACTGGACAGAGAACAAATGTCACAATATAACATCACCATCACAGCCACTGACCAAGGTTCTCCCAGACTCACTTCAATGACAGTTATTAGCATTCAACTTTCAGACGTCAATGATAACCCTCCAATGTTTGAAAGATCTTTCTACGATTTGCACTTGAGAGAAAACAACATTCCAGGACTGCTCATTGGATCAGTCCACGCTGTGGATGTGGACACAGAACAAAATGCCAAACTGACGTATTGGCTTTTGCCTGGGAAAATCAGGGATGTCCCCGCATCGTCTTACATCTCCATCAGCTCCGAAACCGGGAACTTGTATGCCATCCGATCTGTAGATTATGAGGATATACAAGATTTCCAGGTGATGGTGAGGGCTGTAGACAAGGGCTCGCCTCCACTGAGCTCAGAAACCATGGTCCGAGTTCTTATCAGAGATGAGAATGACAACGCCCCCTTCATCCTCTGCCCCCTTCAGAACAGCACTTCTCCATCAAAGGAGCTGGTTCCCAGGGGAGCAGAGACAGGCTACCTGGTCACCAAAGTGGTGGCAACGGACAGGGACTCAGGGCAGAATTCTTGGCTTTCCTATCAATTGCTGAAGGCCACAGATCCGAGTCTCTTCGCTGTTGGGACTCAGAATGGGAAAGTGAAAACCACGAGGCCGGTGAACATCCGAGACACTTTCAAACACACTCTTATTGTGGCAGTTAGGGATAACGGGCATCCGCCTCAGTCTGTCTCTGCGACCCTAAAAATTCTTTTAGTGGACGGCTTCTCTGATCCATACATGAAAATTATGGATAATCCTAAGAGTGAAGTCCCGCAGGAGGAAGATCATACTCTAACCATGTATTTGATTATCTGCTTGGTTGCCATCTCATCCATTTTTCTGCTTTCTGTCATGGTGTTTATTGCCACCAAGTTTCAGAAGCGAAGGAAATTCATAGGAAGTTCTCATTCTGCATCTAATTTCCCCGTGGGACACAATTTGCAAGAAAACTGTGGAGATCGTACTTCTGACACATATTGCCAGGCCTACAATTATGAAGTATGTTTAGCTGGTGGGTCTTTAAATAGTGAGTTCAGATTTCTCAGGCCAATATTCCCTATTTTTTCAATGGATCCAAAGAATTCAACAGACTCTCAGGCTACCAAAACTCATGTCAAGGAAGATGAACGGATGTCCCAGGTAAGAATAATATTAAACCTTTCCAACAGTTTTCTATCTTAAATTTCTAATATTTTATTATTTAAAGATGCCATAGGGAGCAGCTTTTCTATGGTTAATTCTAAAAACGTGTCCACAAATAGACTGCATTGTTCTGCATTTATTTCTGAATAAATCATTTTGTTTTGCTTTGCTTTCTTTTACTTTCCTTTGGTTTTTTTTCTCACTATTTTTCTGCATTTGTCTTGTGGAATATTCATTTCTGTTCAAAAGTCAAAATCATCTTTCCTGTTTAAGACAGAGAATTTTTATATGATTCTTTGAGTCTCAGAAAGGCCAGAAAGAATTGCAGCTGAAAGGAAAGTTAAAGGCTTTGAATAAAAACCCTTTCACTTCAGAAAGAAACCCTCCTATGTCCTCTTCCTCATTTATGCATTGATGGTCAGAATGTATATTCCATTTCATAAAATAGAATAGAAAGATATAGAATAGAAAGAATAGAATAGAATAGAATATATATATATATATATATATATATATATATATATATATATATATTATATATATATATATATAACTGTCAGTATATTGTGGGATATGAAATTGGAAAGACAGTTGTTCCAATTAAAGCTGGATTCCCTGCAAATGCTATTACCATATTAACAACTATTGTTACCATGTTACAATATTTTATGTGAAAACACAGAGGCATTTTTAAACAGGTGGGCAATATGGGTATATTGATCATGATGAACATCATTATACATCTTGTATAAAGATACATCTTACATAAAGAGCTGAATGAGTCCCATCTGCATATATTAACCCAAAAAACTCACAAAAGCTTTTGCCTAGCAAAATAAAAGTCCAGTGAGCAAACTGGAGTCCCCCATCACTTCAGAGAAGGACTTCGAAGAAACACTTTGTCATAATCTCCAGCTTTAAACAAAATCTTCCATTTACTTTTAGCATGTGGTGGAAAAACAGACTTATACAAACTCACTGATCCTTGTAAGTGCCATCATTCAAATGGTGTCACACAACTGAAGACTTTGCACATTCAGGGCTACCAAATGCACAGATATAGAATAAGTGATAACTGGCTCAATAATAGTAATTGCAAGATGGATCTTGGACTCCTAGTGGACAGTCACTTAAATATGAGCCAGCAGTGTGCTGCAGCTGTCAAAAAAGCCAATGCAATTCTAGGCGACATTAACAGAGGGATAGAATCAAGATCACGTGAAGTGTTAATACCACTTTATAATGCCTTGGTAAGGCCACACTTGGAATACTGCATCCAGTTTTGGTCACCACAATATGAGACTCCAGAAGAAGTACAAAGAAGAGCAACAAAAGACGATTATGGGACTGGAGGCTAAAACATACAAAAAATGGTTGCAGGAATTGGGTATGTCTAGTTTAATGAAAAGAAGGATTAGGGAGTGACATGATAGAAGTGTTCCAATTTCTGAGGGCTACCACAAAGAAGAGGAAGTCAACCTATTCTCCAAAGCACAAGAAGGCAAGACAAGAAGCAATGGATGGAAACTAATCAAGGGGACAGCCAACCTAGAAACTAAGGAGAAATTTCTGACAGTTAGAAAAATTAATCAGTGGAAGAACTTACCTCCAGAAGTTGTGGGTGCTCCAATACTGGAGGTTTTTAAGAAGAGATTGGACAACCATTTTTCAGAAATGATACTTCCTGCTTGAGCAGGGGATTTGACAAGAGGAACTCCAAGGTCCCTTCCAACTCTGTTATTCTGTTCTGTACTGAAAGAAATGTTCATACATCAGAATATATACATTTCCAAAGAAAATTGCATTTTCATTGGAGTGACATCAGACTTTGTTTTTATCAAGAGCTGTCTAGCATTCTAGCTGGTGGAAAAATATCAGATCTTTTATTTTCAGTGTAAATCTTTCCATCTATCAAATTGAAACTATCAAAGTCAATTCACTACTAAGATATTTATGGTCATGCAAAGGAAAATAGATTATTTAGCCAGGTCAAAATAAGGAGATCCCTATATTTACATATACTGCGGACCTTATTCATGTTATTTTTGTGGCTGAAATTAAATAAATTTAAATGGGGATGATTAACATAAATCCTTTCCTTTCCTCTTATTGTTCTGTTCTGATACACTTTAATCAATTTATTTCTGGGGATCCTCAGGGAAAATTATATTACAGTGCTAGAGTTGTATCCCTCTCACTGAATGTGCTGTTGAACAATAATATTATTGTTTGGGGATGAGGTAACTAGGATCTCACTAACCTTAAGAACCATCATTTCCTGTAGGATCTTCATATTTTGAATAGGTAGAAAGCCTTCAAAACTATGATTTGCTGCCTTTCATTTAGAACGGACTCTTTAAATAATAAGCAGTCCTAGAGGTGAATTCCTCAAACAGCCACATGGTGGCAGAACAGGCAAACATATTACTGAGAACTCAGAATTTTGGGGTGAGAGGAAATGAACAAAAAGCTACGACTAAGGTGTTGCAAGAAGACAAGAAGATTTTAACCAATCAAAAGATGAAGGCTGGGAGGTAAAGCAGCAGGAAATTAGCTTTTTGTCAGAGATAATAACTCGATGAAAATAAGGAGCTGTATATTCTGTTCAAAAATTAAGGAGAGTCCTGAATCATGGAACAATGCATTAGGAGTAAACAAGGTATGTATCTTTTTTGGTTGCTTTGTCTTCCTGGAGCATTATGTATTTCAATCTATTATTCTACACTGGAAGAAACCAAAAGTGGTTCTATAGTGGCTAATGTGCTGAAGGATTTGAAACTGGAAGTAGAGGAATTCATTGATCGCAGAGCCCATCTCATTTCTCAAAGCACTAAGCAGTATTTCTCCCTGGATCTTCATACTGGGGATATATTGATAAATGATAAAGTAGACCGAGATGTTTTGTGTGGCCAGACAGATGCTTGCATACTTACCTCTCAAATTGTGATTGACAACCCTTTGGAATCATATAATATTGAAATAGAAATAGAAGACATAAACGACAATGCTCCCAAGTTCTCTAAAAATGAATTTGAGATAGAAATTCCTGAGAATGTTCCTACAAATATGGTAATTCCCTTGGAATCTGCAGATGATGAGGACCTAGGAGAAAACAGCATCCAAAACTATACACTCAGTGCCAATGAATATTTTTGGCTTCATGTTCAAAAGAACAAAGACGGAATTAACAATGTGGATCTTGTTCTAAAGAGATCACTAGACAGAGAAAAGGTGCCACATCTCAATATCATCCTAATGGCTGTTGATGGTGGGGTACCACAGAAAACAGGCACTGTTCAAATTAATATTGATGTTCTGGACATTAATGATAATCCTCCTCAATTTTCCCAATCTGAATATAAGGTAAAAATAAAGGAAAACCTTCCTACGGGCACTGCAGTGGCTAAAGTGGAAGCTACGGATCTTGATTTGGGTTCAAATGCACAAGTCACCTACTCATTCCACAGAACGCCTGAAAAAATAAACAGTTTGTTCCTTTTAAATGAAAGGACTGGAGAAATCACTGTTAGGGGACAGATTGATTATGAAAAAGAAAGAAGTTATAGCATAAATATCAGAGCAATAGATGGAGGAGGACTTTCAGGTCACTGCAAGATAGTAATAGAGGTTGAAGATGAGAATGACAACCCCCCAGAAGTGTCCATCGTATCTTTGACCAGCATCTTAAAGGAGGATTCCCCATTGGAGAAGGTGGTGGCCCTCTTCAGTGTTAGAGACCAAGACTCTGGAGACAACAGCAAAATTGTCTGCTCTGTGGACATGAATCTCCCTTTTGTGCTCAAAGGCACCACAAACAACTTTTACCAGCTTGTGCTCCAAAGTCCCCTAGACAGAGAGATGGTCACTGAGTACAACATCACCATCACAGCCATTGACTGTGGCTCTCCTAGGCTCACTTCAACAAGACTGATTAATGTTCAGATTTCTGACATCAATGATAACCCTCCTCTTTTTGAAAAGGCCTCATATGACATGCAGATCCGGGAGAATCATATTCCAGGTTTGCTCATCGGCTCAGTCCACGCTGTGGATCTGGACACGAAGCAGAATGCAAAAGTGACTTACTCAGTTCTGCCTGGGAAGGGTGATGGCCTTTTGCCCACTCTCATTTCAATCAACTCTGAAACTGGAAACCTGTATGCCCTCCGATCCCTGGACTATGAGCAGATAAGAGGCTTCAGAGTTACTGTGAGGGCCTCTGATGGTGGTTCTCCTTCCCTGAGCTCAGAAGTGATTGTCCGCATCCACATCATAGATGAAAACGACAACGCTCCCTTCTTCCTGTATCCCCTCCAGAACAACACATCCCCATGCAACGAGCTGGTTCCCAAGTCAGCCGAGGCCGGCTATCTGGTCACCAAGGTGGTTGCAGTGGATGCAGATTCTGGCCAAAACTCTTGGCTTTCCTATGAATTGCTGAAGGCCACGGACCCAGCCCTTTTCAGCATAGGAGCGCAGAATGGGGAAGTGAAAACCAGGAGAGCCCTGAATGAGCGAGACACAAACAAGCAGAGGCTGGTGATTCTGGTCAGAGACAACGGTCTTCCTCCCCAGACCAGCACGGCGTTGCTTAATGTCCTTCTTGTGGATGGCTTTTCGGATCCCTTCCTGAGGAGGGTGGATGTCAGTGTGCAAGAACCGGAAGAAGATAAAACCTTGACCAAGTATTTGGTGATCTGCTTGGCTGCTGTCTCCTTTGTGTTCCTGGTCTGTATTGTTGTGTTTGTTGTGGTCAAAATCCTCAAGAAGGACCCCCAAAGCCATTTTACTGCAGCTGTTCCTCACTTCCCACCTGCCAGTGCTGATGCCCCAGAGAACTGTGCAGATTCACAGAATGGGTCGCTTCCCAGGACTTACCGTTATGATGTTTGTTTGACTGGTGGATCCTTAAGTAGCGAGTTCCGATTTCTCAGGCCCCTCTTTCCTGTCTTTTCGGTGGGAGATGTAAACATTCCTGGGTATCAGAAGAATTCTGGTTGTGAAGATATCTCTGAGCAGGTTGCAGATAACCAATTATATGAGCAGGTGAGTTACCTTTAAATATATTGATTGATTGATTGATTGATTGATTAGCTCTTTGGCCATATCAAAATGCAAAGTTCCAAAAAACAAATTATTACTAAAATTTGATAAAAGCAATTTAAAATGGAATTAGATAAAATACAATTTAAAATGAAATTGGAATAAAATAAAATGAAATTGGAATAAAATATAGTCTCAAATAAATAGTTTAAAATATAGATAAAATATGATAAAATTATATTTTGGTGTTACCCCTGCAATCTACCCCAATCAGTGCCACATATGCAGATCTCAACTGAATCATTTTGCTTAAGTACTGTGCTGTGTTAAATGTTATTTTCAGATTCTGGCCAGACATAAGGTAAGTTGTTTTGATATGGAGATCCCAATGGGTCATTTTTTGGTATATAGACCGAGATACCTGTCTCTCTCCCTCTTAAACAGGCAACAATCAAATAGGATGTGAGCCAGGTCTTCTACCTCTGGCACTCTGCATATGCAGAGATGTTCATTGTAGGGTATGGAATGGAATCTCCCACATCTAACCATTGTGTTGAGCTGTTCGAATCTCGCTCGAATAAATATCTCCCTTAGATGTTTTGGCAGTTGTAACTTCAAATAGCTGTCTATTTGAAAAGTACGTTTGTATTTGCTCAGTCATTTCAAGTTACCCACCTTACTAAGGATAGCTAGGTCATATTGTGTTTCTATATCTTTAATTCTTTGGGCAGCTCTTTTTTAAAATCGTTTTGTCATGCAAGAGTCAGGAAGGCCACAGCTTCTTACAAAATTTGTTAGTTTGATGATCCAGGAGATTTGTGATTGTGATTTTATTTGCTCTAGTAGACATAGCTTGGGGAGTCTATCAGTCTCTATATTGGCTTTATGCCAGTAATTATATGCTCTAATTTGGGATAATGCATGAATTGTATGAATTCCCAATTCAGCTCCAGCTGCTACAGAAGATGTTCTTAGATCTACATCTAAAATACATCTCAAATGCTGGGACTGTGTTTGTTCTAGGACTTTGGTTGAGTATAGACCCCAAACGTCTGCTTCATATAAGAGCATAGGGGTAATCTTAGCTTTATATATTTTAATTAATGGGGCTAGGGTCCCTGTGTAACGATGATTCTTCAGTTTAAGCAGTAAATTCAAACGAGCTTTTGCTCTAAGTGTACTCCATTGATGATGGCAGGCCCAAGATCCAGTCTTGGAAAAAGTTATGCCTAAATATACAAAGGTGTTAACCTGTTTAATTGGTTCACCGTCTAATTGCCATCTATGTCTCTATTGATGTTTTCCAAACACCATGATTTTTTATTTAGATTTACTAATGGTTAGGGAGTTATCCTGGCAATAAGAACTGAATCTTCTTAATAGCCTACTTGTGAATACGATAATAAAATCATATCATCAGCATAGAGCAAGCTGTTACAGTATGTATTTAGGATCATTGGCATATGTACCATGGGATCCTTCATTAACCTTGGCAAATCATTGATATATAAACTAAATAATAATGGGGCCAGGACACACCCTTGCATTACCCCTTTATTTGTGTGAATTTGTTGTTGTTGTTAATTGCGAAGTCGTGTCTGACCCATCGCGACCCCATGGAAAACGTTCCTCCAGGTCTTCCTGTCCTCTACCATCTTCTGGAGTCCATTTAAGTTCACACCTACTGCTTCAGTGACTCCATCTAGCCATCTCATTTTCTGTTGTCCCATTCTTCTATTGTCCTCAATCTTTCCCAGCATTAGGCCCTTCTCCAATGAGTCCTTCCTTCTCATTAGGTGGCCAAAGTATTTGAGTTTCAACTTCAGGATCTGGCCTTCTAAAGAGCAGTCGGGGTTGATCTCTTCTAGGACTGACCAGTTTGAACGCCTTGCAATCCAAGGGACTCGCAGGAGTCTTCTCCAGCACCATAGTTCAAAGGCCTCAATTCTTTGGCGCTCAGCCTTTCTTATGGTCCAACTTTCACAGCCATACATTGCAACTGGGAAAACCATGGCCTGGACTATACGCACTTTTGTTGGCAGGGTGATGTCTCTGCTTTTTAGTATGCTGTCTAGATTTGCCATAGCTTTCCTCCCCAGGAGCAAACGTCTTTTAATCTCTTGGCTGCAGTCCCCATCTGAGGTGATCTTGGAGCCCAGAAAAATAAAATCTGTCACTACCTCCATTTCTTCCCCATCTATTTGCCAGGAATTGAGAGGGCCGGATGCCATGATTTTGGTTTTCTTAATGTTGAGTTTCAAGCCAACTTTTGCACTCTCCTTCTTCATCCGCATCAACCCCATACAGCACCCCATTAAAATAGAACCTAGACTGCTGGCTTTAATTAAAGCCCTTTATACAAGGGCTTTAATTAAAGCCAGCAGTCTAGGTTCTATTTTAAGAGCTGTCAGTTTACTCCATAGTACTTCTCTGTTTACCATCCATATCAAATGCTGCTGTGAGGTCTATAAAAGCAGCAAACAGGGGTCTCCTCTTATAGGCATATTTGGCAATTAGATGGTTCAAGACAAAGCAGTTATCAATAGTGAATCGACTTTGTCTAAAACCTGCTTGTTCTTCTGCAAGGATATGGTTTTCCTCTATCCAGATTTCAATTCTATTTAAAAGGAACCTAGCACATATTTTTGCTGCAATGTCAATCAGACTGATGGGCTTATAATTACTAGGATCCTTTTTATTTCGTTTTTAATATATGGGGACAACTATTGCCATTTTCTACCCATCTGGTATATGGCAGGTGTTATTTATATGTGTAAAAAGACCTGCCAATACTGGTCACCACCAATTTCTTAAATAATTCTGCTGGTAAAAATCCTCACCTGAGGCTTTATTGCTCTTTAAGCTTTTAATGATGGATTGTATCTCCTTTCCCGAGACTAGTGGCCAAGGGGGAGGAGTTTTAGAGTTTACTAAATCACTGCTTAAAGACAGTTTGTCTGCAGTTCCATGGAAGCACACAAACACTGGTAATAATTCTCCCAGTCCTCAGCAGAGATTGGTATATCAAATGCAAATCTCTGTTCCTTTAGAACACCTGCTACAGAGTGCCAAAATATTACTGGGTTATGACTTTTGGCAGCCAACTCGAGTTCTGACCAAATTGAAATGGCAAAACTTTTTTTCTTTAATTTTATAATTCTTTTATATTCCCTTCTTATGTGCAACATCTCAGCTTTTATATGAACAGTAGGATTCCTCTGGGCGAGCCTCATGGCTGCCTTCAATTTCTTTTTCAGCTGCTGGTATTCAGGGTCAAACCAATGGGGTCTTCACACTTGGGCTCTTTTTGTAGCAGGTTTAGTTGTTAGGTATTTCTTCAGGATATTACAGAGATTAGAGAATGCGTTGAAGGCTGACAGCCAGTCAGTAGTAGATGACTGGATTGTTCTAGCCCAGTTGGTAGCATTCTCTGCTTTAACGCAGTCTGTTATTGCCTTAGCATGAACTTTGGCCCAAATTAATCTTTTATTTTGGGTCACCTCTACCTTTTTGGTGAGCCATTTGTCAACCATGTTATATGATCTTAAATCTGAGCGACCTCACAATGTCACACTTACAGGCTGATGGTTGCTATCATCGCTAAAGTGTACCGTGACCTCCGAGAAGAGGTTGACTTTATATCTAGACACACAAAAGAGATCCAGTACACTGCTTGAATGGACCAAGGGTTATGTGTAAGGATAAGTGTAATTTTTATCCTTACCTCCCAGAATTTGGAGATTACCTTTAAAGATTAAGGAGACTAGAAACAGGCCAGCAGTGTTACTTTTGCGGTCTCTTGAGAGCCACTGAGGATGGTTATCAAAAAACTCCCCTGGGACTCCCTTCTTCTGGGCAAACTCATACAAAGAGGAGCCCAACCTGGCGTTAAAATCTCCTAGTAATGCTACTATGACTGAGGATACAATACAGATATATCGTGTAGGATAACTTCCAGATCCATCCAGTATTCAGAATTATAATACCGGGATGTGTTTGGAGGGATATACACATTTACAGTATTAACTCAAACTCTTTATATCCAAATTTAACAGCTAGGAAATATGAATACTTATCTTCGTTTTATAGTTTCTCCCCCTGCCATTGCAACTCTTGCTTTATAAGAATGCATAACCCACCAGAGGGTCTCCCTTTGTTTTTTGGGCTGGGGAAGCCCATCCCTGAAAGCCTGGCAATTGTACTGGTTCATCCACTTCGATTAACCAGGTTTCCTATTACATCAAATCTGGAGAGGAAGTTCATTAGTCCACTATCAACCGTCCCTTTCCAGCCAGCCACGTTCCAGGTCAGCATCTGTATGGGATTCCCAGGGGCAAGATGGTCTGGCTTGGTTGATTGGCTAGGTGGTAAGAATGCTGGATGTCAACTTGACATTGGAGCTGGGTTGATATTAACTATACTTCCATATAAACACAGTTACTATGAGATTCGATATTTCTCCTTGTGAGTTGCAGAACTTCTTGTTGTTCGTCTTTATCTTGATTGCCAGCGTGCCTCTGCTTTTGCTCCAAGATTGACATTTCTTCAGGTGGGCCGGTACTCCGGCTTTCCCTCTCCTTGTCTAGTTGTCCTACTGGATAATCAATTTGGACTTGTACTACCAGGTCCTGTTGGATGTCCCTTTCCTCCTCTTTTTGTTTTGGGCTAGTACGCCTTCTCTTTTTATTTATTGGGGCTTGAGTGCTTTCAAAAGCCAGACTTGATAGCAGTTCCATGGAGGAGCTGCCAGTAGGAAGCAAAACATTCAAGCTTTCTGTTGCATCAGTTGCCAACCTCAACGTTTGACCAATTATTTCTATCTTCTCCAGTATCATCTCTTGGTCTCCTGCGGAAAGGGTAGCAAACTGATAGACTAGCTCTTCTTTGTCATCCATGACCTGAAGCTTTCCATTGTGTAGGTTTAAATATTCTTTTTTATTGTCCTTGTCTTTTCATAACCTTGTTAGTTGAGGGCTTGTTTGTTTGGCCATTGGTATTTTGGAGTAATAGACACCTTGTAATTCATAGTTCCTTCAGAATAGCATAGGCCCAAATATATTTCTTATTTCTGTGGAAATAAAGCATTTTTTTCTGGAAGGAAGAGAGGAACATCCCTGAAGATGCTTTTTCTTTCGTAAATCACTAAGCCCATCATGCTACAACTTGATATTTTCTTCCTGGGAGACAGAGGATGCACCTTCTCACTGATCTTCAACCCCACTCAGCTGCAAAGTCCAAATACAGTTTAAGTGTAGGCCACCCAACCAAGCAGAAGAAATAGATGAACTTTTTGCTAATCAGTTAACAAATGTATGTAAGAAACACAGTAGTAATGGGGGACTTTAATTACCTTGACATTAACTGGGAAACAAACTCAGCAGCAAGTAGGAGATTGAACAGGTGCCTGACCAACCTAGCTGACAAGTTTGTTACCCAAAAGGTAGAGGAGGCAACTAGAAGGGCAGCTATATCGGACCTTATTCTTACTAACCAAGAAGTAGTGATAGAGAGGATTGAAACTGCAGGAACTTTGGGGAAGAATGACCATGTCACATTAGAACTCAAAATAAAACAAACACAAGCAACAGACCATAATCAAACCAGAATCTTAGACTTTAAAAGAGCTGATTTTAATAAAGTCAGAGCTGAGGGGGGATCCCACAGATGAAAACCTTAAAGTGGAAAAAAAAACTCAAGAAGTTTGGGAAACTCTGAAAAATACGATAATAAAAACACAGTTCCACTCAATACCATTGGAAAAAAAAAAGAAATCCAAGAAAAAAGTAGCATGGTTGCATAAAGAACTCTCTGACCAACTGAAAGAAAAAAGGGGTAAGTACAAAAAACGGAAAGAGGGGCACATACCTAAGGCAGAATAGCAACAAATAGTCCAAACCTGCAAAGATGAAGTTAGGAAAACTAAGGCTTAGAATGAAGTAAAACTTGCAATAAAAAGTTTTTTTCAACACATAACAAACAAGAATAAAGTCAAAGAACGATTAGGGAAGGGAAGTAAATAGTGGTGTACCCCAAGATTCTGTTTTAAGCTCAGTACTCTTCAATATCTTCATAAAAGATCTAGATGAGAGAATAGAAGGGGGTCTCTTCAAATTTGCAGATGACACTAAGTTGGCAGGAATAGCCTATACCCCAGGAGATAGGCTCAAGATCCAAAAGGCTCTTGACAGACTTGAACGCTGGGCCCTGTCTAAACAAAATGAAATTCAGTGTAGATAAAAGTATGGTTTTATACTTAGGCTAGAAAAAACAAACTTATAGGTACAGACTAGGTAAAACTTGGCTTAATGCCAGTAACCAGGAGAGGGATTTTAGATTCCAAGTGGACAATCACTTAAATATGAGGCAACAGTGTGTGGCAACAGTCAAAAAAAGCCAATGCAATCCTAGGCTGCATTAATAGAGGGATAGAATAAAAATCATGTGAAATGTTAGTAACGTTTTACAAGGCCTTTGTACGATCACACTTGGACTATTGCTTCCAGTTTTTGTCACCATATTATAAAAAAGATGTTGAGCCTCTGGAAATGGTGCAGAGAAGAGCAACAAAGATGGTTAGTGGCTGGACACTAAAACATATGAAGAACAGTTACAGGAATTGGATATGTCTAGTGTAGTAACAAGAAGGACTAGGGATGACATGATACCAATGTTCCAATATTTGAGGGGCTGCAAAAGTTGAAGGGTCAAACTATTTTCCAAAGCACATGAAGGCAAGACAAGAAACAATGGATGGAAATTAACCAAAGAGAGAAGCAAACTAGAACTAAGGAGAAATTTCCTAATGGTGAGAACAATCAACAATCAACCGAGTGGAATAGCTTGCCTTCGGAAGTTTGGAGTGCCCAAACACTGGAAGTTTCAAAAAGTGACTGGACAGCCATTTGTCTAAGTTCTTTGCCCTATTCGTATATGAGATACACAGTAAAAAAAATGGAGGTCACCTTTCTATCCATTCAGTAAGAAAGACCTATTCTAGATTTTCTGTGTTTTATCATGATCGGTACTGGCAGTGATTGACATAAACACTGACTGGAGACAGAGGTGCTCTATTAATTTGTAATTAAAATTTTCCATGGCAGGAAGTACAGTAAATAGATACCTGTCAAGTTATCTATTCCAAAACAAAGATAAAACTGGCGTTTGTAATATCCACAATTCAGACAGTATCTTATTTTTACTTGGCAATGATTTTTCTTTCTAAGGTTAAAAGTGAATAAATTATTCTGTTAATGTGTCTGATTATAAGGATGCTTATGCTCACATCACTTACATTTTAGCCAAGTACAGGAAATGTGCTCAGATCATTCAAGTTAAACAATCATACTGGAGAAATTACTGTTGAAGGAAAAATTGATTACGAAGAAAATGGCACGTATGAAATGAATACGAAAACCAAAGATGGAGGTGGACTATCCGCTTACTGTAAAGTCCATGTGGACATTGAGGATGAGAATGACAAAGCCCCAGAAATGACGCTATCACCTGTCACTAATTCCACACCAGAAGATTCTCCCCCAAGAACAGAAGTGGCCATTTTCAGTACCATTGACCCAGACTCTGGCAACAATAGCAGAACTACTTGCAACATTGATTCCAACCTGCCCTTTATCATAAAATCCACAAAGAACAATTATTAACAGCTTGTGATTCAACAACCATTGGACAGAGAACAAATTTATGATGACTCCTCTGGACACTTATGCAGATGCCTCTCCAGATGCTACTTCAAGAAGGATGAACTGATTCCTGGCGTGTCAGGAGGGGAGGCAGCTGAGAGCTATAAGCCAGGAGTGGAGTGATCAAGGACAAGGGAGCGACCGGACAAGCAGCAGCCTGTGCTAGAGACAGCTGCACCTGGGAAACCCAGAGGCTTTGGGTGGAGAGGACACACAGCAGCAGATGGTCAGTGGAGATGAAGAAGAAATGCCTTCTCCTCCTGATCCGAGAGCATGTAGAGCTGAGAGTAGTCAGGCACAATGAAGGTCAGTTAGGCTACTTGTGAGAAGGCAGTTTTGCCCCTCTTGATTGGCTGCACCAAGAAACAGCTATTTAGCTCAGCAAGGGGAGTGAAATGATGCTGAGAACAATGTGTTTGTTCCCTTGCTGTGTGTTCTTTAGCTGTTGTGATTCTTGCCTTGAACTTTGGATTGTGCCTCTTCAACTCTGGGGTTGCCTTGTGGATTTCCCTTTGCCTTGTGGACTTACCTTTGCCCTGGGGTTTTGCTTTTGCTTTTTGGACTTGCCTATACCTAGCAGACTTGCCTTTGCCTAGTGGACTTGCCTTGTGTTTGTGTTGTGGACTAGTGCTGGCTTCTTTTGAGTAGCCTGTTGAGTTCATTGGGGGTGGGCTAGTGCTGGTAAAGGGAATAGTCAAGGAATACTAATACAGGCTTGGAAGCCTTAATAAAGACTCCTAATACCTGTGGTGTGTGTGTCTGTGAAACTGGGACAGCACAAAATATAATGTCACAGCCACTGACCAAGGCTCTCCCAGACTCACTTCAATGAGAATTATTGCTATTCATATTTCAGATATCAATGACAACTCTCTGGTATTTGAAAAATCTTTTTATAATTTGCACTTACAGAAAACAATTTCCAGGTCTGTTCACTGGATTCATACACGCAATTGATTTGGACACAAAGCAGAATGTCAAAGTGACCTATTTGCTTTTGCTTGGGAAGATCAGGAATGGCCCAGCATCACCTTTCATCTCCATCAGCTCTGAAACTGGGAACTTCTGTGCCATTTGATCTATAGATTATGAGGATATACACATTTTCTCTGATGAACAAGTTAAAGAAACAATGATAACTTGGGCAAATATTTTTGGACATAATGTACAATGAGAAAAATGGCAAAACTTGTGGGAAATAAACTATAAAATAACAAGGGCAGCTACTTATAAAGAAAATTTATATAAAATGTTTTATAGATGGCATTTGCCACCTGCAAGATTAGCAAAAATGTTTAAAAACATGTCTAGTAATTGTTGGAAATGTAGGCAAAAGCCAGGCACGTACTATCACCTCTGGTGGACATGCCCTAAAGCAAAAAAAAATTTAGTCAAAAATACAAATGTGGTTAGAGAAAACATTAAGAAAACATGTAGATTTTAAGCCAGAACTATTTCTTCTAGGTATAATCACAGAAAATGTATATATTTAATATTACATGTATTAATAGCAGCAAAAATTACATTTGCACAGTATTGGAAAAATGAAGAAATACCAATGGAAGAAGACATAATTAGGAAAATTTTGTGTGGAAATGGATAGGCTTACATTGAAAATGAAAGGGTTAATGAAAGAAGAAACCGAATATTTTCAAACATGGGATAACTTTTACAAATGGCTAGAAAAACAGAGTAGAGAGTAGGAGTGGAAATTGAGCTCAGAAACCATGGTCCGAGTTCTTATCAGAGATGAGAATGACAACGCCCCCTTCGTCCTCTGCCCCCTTCAGAACAGCACTTCTCCATCAAAGGAGCTGGTTCCCAGGGGAGCAGAGACAGGCTACCTGGTCACCAAAGTGGTGGCAACGGACAGGGACTCAGGGCAGAATTCTTGGCTTTTCTATCAATTGCTGAAGGCCACAGATCCGAGTCTCTTCGCTGTTGGGACTCAGAATGGGGAAGTGAAAACCACGAGGCCAGTGAACATCTGGGATTCTGCATCTAATCTCCCTATGAGACAGAATTTGCACAGGAATTGTGGAGATCCTAGTTGTGACTCATATTGTCAGGTCTATAATTATGACGCGTATTTAGTTGATGGATCTTTAAATAGTGAGTTCAGATTTCTCAGACCTCCATTTCTATTTTTGATGGATCACATGAATCTCTGGATTAAATCTGCAGAACCTTTTGGTCATGAAGTAGAGACAAAACGTGTATGCCAAGTGAGAATAATTCTGGGTTGTTGTTTTTTTTTATGGTGAATTTGAAAATGGTATTGGGAATGTTCTATTGCACTCTATCTTATGTTTTTATTTTTTACTGAATTTGTTCTAATTTGTGTAAAATGTAGACCTGAATTAAACACATTTAAAAATATATAAATTTGACGTCTCTCTTTTTTGTTATTGTAATATACATATACCTTAAAATTCATATACCTTTAAAATACTTAAAATATTTTTTCCTTTTATAAATTGAGGGAAATTAATGATTTTGCTGTTCTTGTAATTTGCAATTTGCTGTTCTCTGTAATTTGTTACATTTCCATGATTATGACTTCCCAAACTATTTCTGCTAGTAGAAAGTTAATGGTATCAACTAAAGCACAGAGAAATAAGAAATGAACACATAAAATAGGCTCCCAGATATTCTTTTTTAAAAAATCTCTATGTTAGAAGTTGTTTATCAACAAATACTATAGAATTTTACTAGAAATTTCACATAAATATCCCATTTTCAAATTTTATCTTTTTCTTAACAAAGACAATTCAAAAGGTAGTGAGACCGAAAATAAAAGTCAGGGTAATTATAAGAGAAAAGTAGTCAGTACTTTTTCAGTTAAAGATCATAAGCATGTTTTCCAGAAATTTTACTAACTTTTGCTGAACTTTTTAAATCAAATAATCTGTTTCAAATAACTAAGCAATATATCTCAGATCTTCAAGTTTATGTCTATTGTGCAAAGAGATTTGTTTCCTTATTCAGCCACATAGTGGCAGCACAGGCTAACATATTAATAGACACCCAGAATGTTGTCTGAGGAATGCTGAGGAAATGATTATTAGAGAAGGGAATGAAACAAAACCTCAGCAGAACATGAGAAAAATTTCAGTGGAACCAAATATCCACACTGCACAACAAAACAGGTTTTCCTTATCAGCAAACATTTTCACTGGATAAAAATTAGGAAGCGTATGTTTGGAGCAAAAATTGAAGATAAAGAAATTTCCTACACAATGGAAGATCACTTCCTCAAGGACAAACAAGGTCTGTATCTTTTGCTTTTCCTCAGTCTTTTTGGAACACTGTGTAGTTCAGTTCATTATTCTGTCCCTGAAGAAAAGAAAAATGGGTTTGTGGTGGCTAATGTATTGCAGGATTTGAAATTGAAAAAAGGAGAACTCTCTACTCGTCGAGCCTGTTTAATTTTTGACAACACTAAGGAATATTTCCACCTTGATATCCAAAGTGGGAATTTGTTGATAAATGATAAAATAGACAGAGAAGTTTTATGTGGCCAAAAGGAGCCTTGTATAATTTTATCCCAAATTGTTCTAGAAAACCCACTGAAATTCCATAGTATTGAAATACAAGTAGAAGATGTGAATGATAATGCTCCTAACTTCACAAAAAATATATTTACTATACAAATACCAGAACATGTCCCAGTGAATACCCGAATTCAGATGGAGTCTGCTCAAGATGCTGATCTAGGAAAAAATGGTATCCAAAATTACACACTCACTAAAAATTCACATTTCACAGTAGACGTACAGATTGATGAACATGAAAAGAGAAATGTTGACCTTATTCTGCAGAAACCACTAGACAGGGAGAAGATGCCTCATCTTCAGTTAATTCTGATGGCCATTGATGGAGGAGTGCCACAAAAAACAGGCACTGTTCAAATTAATATTGATGTTCTAGATATAAATGATAACTCTCCTCAATTTTCTCAGTCTGAATATAAGGTAAGAATAAAGGAAAATCTTCCTGTGGGCACACTGCTGATTAAGCTGGAGGCTAGAGATCCTGATTTTGGTTCAAATGCACAGATCCTCTACGCATTCCATCGAGTGTCTGAAAGAATAAACAATTTATTCCTTTTAAATGAAAGGACTGGAGAAATCACTGTTAGGGGACAGATTGATTATGAAAAGGAAAGGAGTCATAGCATAAACATCAAAGGAATGGATGGAGGAGGTCTCTCGGGTCACTGCAAGATATTAATAGAGATTGAAGATGAGAATGACAACCCCCCAGAAGTGTCCATCATATCTCTCATCAGCACTTTAAAGGAGGATTCTCTCCCAGACACAATGGTGGCGCTCTTCAGTGTTAGAGACCAAGACTCTGGAGACAACAGCAAAACGGTCTGCTCCGTGGAGATGAACATTCCTTTTGTGCTCAAAAGCACCGAAAACAACTTTTATCAGCTTGTGCTCCAAAGTCCCCTAGACAGAGAGACGGTCACTGAGTACAACATCACCATCACAGCCATTGACTGTGGCTCTCCTAGGCTTACTTCAACAAGGCTGATTAATGTTCAGATCTCCGATGTCAATGATAACCCTCCTCTTTTTGAAAAGCCTTTATATGACATGCAGATCCGGGAGAATCATATTCCAGGTTTGCTCATTGGCTCAGTCCACGCTATGGATCTGGACACGAAGCTGAATGCAAAAGTGACTTACTCAGTTCTGCCTGGGAAGGGTGATGGCCTTTTGCCCACTTTCATTTCAATCAACTCTGAAACTGGAAACCTGTATGCCCTCCGATCCCTGGACTATGAGCAGATCAGAGGCTTCAGAGTTACTGTGAGGGCCTCTGATGGTGGTTCTCCTTCCCTGAACTCAGAAGTGATTGTCCGCATCCACATCATAGATGAAAACGACAATGCTCCCTTCTTCCTGTATCCCCTCCAGAACAACACATCCCCATGCAATGAGCTGGTTCCCAAGTCAGCCGAGGCCGGCTATCTGGTCACCAAGGTGGTTGCAGTGGATGCAGATTCTGGCCAAAACTCTTGGCTTTCCTATGAATTGCTGAAGGCCACGGACCCAGCCCTTTTCAGCATAGGAGCGCAGAATGGGGAAGTGAAAACCAGGAGAGCCCTGAATGAGCGAGACACAAACAAGCAGAGGCTGGTGATTCTGGTCAGAGACAACGGTCTTCCTCCCCAGACCAGCACGGCGTTGCTTAATGTCCTTCTTGTGGATGGCTTTTCGGATCCCTTCCTGAGGACGGTGGAGGTCAGTGTGCAAGAACCGGAAGAAGATAAAACCTTGACCAAGTATTTGGTGATCTGCTTGGCTGCTGTCTCCTTTGTGTTCCTGGTCTGTATTGTTGTGTTTATTGTGGTCAAAATCCTCAAGAAGGACCCCCAAAGCCAATTTACTACAGCTGTTACTCACTTCCCACCTGCCAGTGCTGATGCCCCAGAGAACTGTGCTGATTCACAGAATGGATCGCTTCCCAGGACTTACCGTTATGATGTTTGTTTGACTGGTGGATCCTTAAGTAGCGAGTTCCGATTTCTCAGGCCTCTCTTTCCTGTCTTTTCGGTGGGAGATGTAAACAATCCCCAGGGCCACAGAACATCTTCTGGTTCCCAAGATACTGGTCAGGAGATTGCAGATAGTCAATTAAAGGAAGAGGTGAGTTCACCTTTAAATGAAAGCACAGATTTCTTATCTTTCTTTTTCTGAATTCTTTTGTTTCACTTTTTCTGTGAGTATCCTCCAATTATTTAAGGCTTGCTTATATAATACAATGAAGTAGAATAAATTGGGACACCAGTAACTATCTTTTTACTGTATAACGTAGCATCACTTGAGGTCATGGTATTTAGTTGGGGCTAGCATTTTTTATAAATACAAACATTAAGTTGTGTTAAATAGATTTCTATTTTTATTTTTTATTATAAATTGAAATGTCTTAGTATGTTATACAAATTTGGCCATTTGGTTAAGATAAAAGTATGTGCTGATGTAGCATTTGCAGCAGAGGAAATATATAGAAAAACATTAATGAACCTATAATCAGTCATGTATATTATTGTCATGGAAAATATTACCTGCAGATATCATATTTTCAGGTTTGGGCTTCAGAGGCTATCCTTAAAAGCTTTCAGTAATAAAGAAGTCTTCTGTATGTAAGAAAAATTGAGGCCTGTTACCACAAGCCTTCCTCATCTTCTAGTTGTAGCTTGCTATATTACACAGTAGCTTACAGAACAAGCCCTCATTTTTCAACCACCATGCCATATAGGTAAATAATTAAATACTGGCTTAGAGATATACTGATAATCCAAGATATATTGTAGATGAGTTATTTCTCACAACATTTCCTGCTAAATATTCCTAAATATACAAAGAACCAATTACTTATATTTGGTACTCTGAATGATTGGTTTTCTTTCTAGTGTTTATCTTTGGAGTTTGGCCAAGAACAGTTGGATAAAGACACATCTATGGGGAGGGTTGCCCCGGTTCCTCCCTTAAAGAGGCATTAATCCAGACACACAGGTCCCATTCAACCACACAATTAAACCAGCTGATCAAGCTTATATGAAGCAGATATTATGTTACTGAAGGCTTTTTCCACATCCTGGAAGCTCAAAATCTCAATAGGCAAGACGCTTGCCCTCAGAAGTTGTGCATTCTCCCTCACTGGAGATTTTTAACATTGGACAGCCATTTGTCTGCAACTCACTGGCCACAGCTCGATACTGGGCCACGGCTTGTTCCAAATTTGGCCGCAAGAGTAGCAGGTGAATCCATGTATGCAGCTCCTTTTGCATGAGTGTGAGACACTCTTGTCTGCATGAAGCTCTATTCGTGTGAGCAGTGGGTGTGCCCACTTTACATGCATGCTGAGTGCCCACTACTTGTACAAATGGAGCTTCACTTGCATGTGCGAGTGCTCATCACTCGTGCAAATGGAGCTGCAAATGCTTGCACCTGCCACTCACACAAAACCATTTCCTCTCCCCCCCACCAGTCCACAAACCTGGAAAGGTTGGGGACCATTGTTCTATGGTCTCCTGCTTGAGCAGGGGTGGGACTAGAAGACCTCCAAGATCCCTTCCACCTCTGTTATTCTATTATTCTGAAGTGATAACTGATCCAGGAAAGCTTATGCAAAAAAGCGGCGGGAGTCTTTGAATGGATCGGTGCCTTTGTCGTCAGTGGTATTGTCTTCCATCCGGATCGCTATCTGCGGGTCTGCGAGGAGGGGGGACTACTGAATCAGCGGACGTCCCCGGGGCTGCAGGTTCCAATTCCTCCTCAGTGTCTCTCTAGTTGGGGCTCCAGGAGCTGGTGCGACCGTGGGGCTCAGAATTCTCCTCTCCTAGGGAGTTGAAGGTTCTCTTCATCAAATTGATAGCTTTCTCTAGGATCCAGCTCGAGTGCTGTGCCTAGCTTCCTTCTTCTTCGCTTGCATACAGAGATTTCTCCATTTCCTGCTTCCATTCTGGTTGATTGGCCCCCCATCTCAGAGTCACCTTTCTTGATTTCTTTTCCCACTTGCCTTTCTTTCCAATGCCCATTGACCACCGAGGTTTGTGGTTACGCGTCTCCACCACTTCTTCTCCTGAGGAATCTGACCTCTCAGATCCCGACATCTGGCAAGTTTTCAGTTGGGACAATGGCTCCCTCTCCGGGGGGGGGGGCTTTCTCCCTTCCCTGCTTCGTCATCTGACATGGTATTTTTTGCAAAGTTCTCCCTTCCAGGTTGACAAATTTTGCAGATCCTGTCTAATGTTAGGACCCACCTCAATTTACATCTTAAGAAAACAGAACTCTTGGAACGTCTCTTCCAACAGGAATCTTATTAAGGGAAACTGATTGCAGGCATCAATGTTTTAAAGTGTTCCCAAGCAGCCCTCACCCCACAGTTCTTCCGGGCGATTCAATACATCAGTCCGCTCTGTCGGCACAATCACTCATTTTCTCTTTTCCCAGATCCCAGGTGTTGCATCTTCCCCCCACTTTTCCCTCACTGCCGGCAAAGGGGAGAAATTCAGAGGGAATAGGATGAAAGGCAATGGCCGCATTGTTATGTTTAGTACTCTCGAAGAGAATCAGCAAATGGTTACTTTGTAGTTAATGAAGGAAGTGAGAGTCATAAAACTCCCATGCTTACCCTCCTCCTCTTCTGTAGTAAGACAGAATCCAGAAGAGAGTAAGAATTGGTTTTATATCAGAGTAGGTAGATAGAAATTAAATATAATTGGATTCTGACAGAATTGGTTCATCTGTCAGGTGCTATATTATAAGATTTTTTGGAATGTTTGTTCCCAAGATTAACACAGCTACACCTGTGAAAATTAGAATACGTCATTCTGAAATCCTGTTATAGATAATGTAGGTTATTGATTGCTTATATCTCACTTTCAAAGGTACTTGCATTGTAAGATAGTAAGTAGAGTCTCCATCTCTCTATCACATTGCAATGTGGTCAGTTCTTTATACAAGTTCTCTACTATGTTTCATTTATTTACATCTTTATTTGTTCATATTCTGACTTTCATTTAGGAGCTGAAGCTGTTATATATAACATCCATTCTTCCATTTTTCCCAAAAGAATCTGTGAGGTAGCTTACTAATGGACGGGTTCAGTCTGCTTGCTGCAAAGTTCTTGTTGACGTCGAGAATGAGAATGACAATGCCCCAGAAATTCCATATCATGCATCACAAGCTTGTTACCTGAAAACTCTTCCTCAGAAACACTGGTAGTTGTGTTTAGTGTTAGTGACCAAGACCTGGGAAATAATGGCAAGATTACAGGCCACCCTGCTGCAAACCTGCCATTTCTGCTGAAACTCAAAAAGAACAATTATTACCAGTTTGTGACTCAACAACCATTGGACAAACAACACCTGTCTGAATATAACATAAGATTTTGACCAAGGCTCCCGCAAGCTTACTTCAATAATAGTTATTAATATTCATATTTTAGATGTCAGTGATAACTCTCCGATGAAATATCTTTCTATGATTTGTACTTTGAAGAAAACATTTCAGATTTGCTCATTGGATCAGGCCATGTAGCAGAATGCCAAAGTGACCTATTTGCTCTTCTCTGGGAAGGTCAGGGATAGAGCTGTATCATCTTACATCTGTCGGGGGGGGGGGAATCCAGCAAAGAAAAACAAGAGATAGAAACACAACAAATACTTACTTTAAAATTCAGAGGTTTGTTTTATTGTAATTTAGAACACACATGCAGCATTACTTACTTAAAAAACCCATTGCAATGAGGTAATGAGCAGTCTCTGCAGGGACGGCTAGTGGCCAACGGCAAATCAATCAGATCCAATCCTAATCTCTTATACCCTTTCCTGTCCTAAGACCGCAGACAGATGGTCAGCAATCTTACTTTCTGCTGACCCTCTGCTGATCATAACTTTCCACATTACCCGTGTAGATCGGAACCCACATCCTTCAGCTACTTTCAGTTCCCCATTTCTCACAGTTCCAGTCCTTATGTTCTAAATATATTTAAAACAAGCAAGCTTAGCAATATCATATTAAGTAAAGTTCAGTTGCAGTTGGGATTAAAAATAACTCCTTCGGATTGTAAACTGAGCATAACACAGACTTTAGTTCAATACTTTCCCATGAAGCCTGATTTAATTCACCTAGGCCTAAACCTTGCATAAAAGGACTATAGCATAAAATTTCTCCTCTCACACATTGATCTATAGCTTATGACAATATACAAGTTTTGGAAATGGTGATGGTGAGGGCTGTAGACAAGGGCTTGCCTCCACTGAGCTCAGAAACCATGGTCCGAGTTCTTATCAGAGATGAGAATGACAACGCCCCCTTCATCCTCTGCCCCCTTCAGAACAGCACTTCTCCATCAAAGGAGCTGGTTCCCAGGGGAGCAGAGACAGGCTACCTGGTCACCAAAGTAGTGGCAACGGACAGGGACTCAGGGCAGAATTCTTGGCTTTCCTATCAATTGTTGAAGGCCACAGATCCGAATCTCTTCGCTGTTGGGACTCAGAATGGAGAAGTGAAAACCACGAGGCCGGTGAACATCCAAGACAGTTTCAAACACACTCTTATTGTGGCAGTTAGGGATAATGGGCATCCGCCTCAGTCTGCCTCTGTGACCCTAAGAATTCTTCTAGTGGACGGCTTCTCTGATCCGTACATGAAAATTATGGATATTTCTTACCCTAATAATAAATACATGATTTTCTTTTTTAAAAAATAATTTTATTAATTTTTTTAAAATTACAATCTTTAGAACTTAATAAACAACATGTTGTCTGGCTTCACATATTTAACATTAACTTCTTCAGTATAAATCTATTCAGTACCGCACACTCCAGTATTTTTTTCTTGATCCTCCTTTCTTCCCCATATTTTTTCCATTTCCTCCTCATTAGACAATTACCATTCTTGGTACTATTGATGTATACAAAATTAGATATAGACATCTTCATCATATTTTACTAATATTATACAAATAACAATAATATTGATTCATGTCAATATCCTGTTTTTCGTGCTCTTATTAAAGTTTGATTTCCCATCAATATCTTTGTCATTTATGATTTTCTCAATATTATTTACATTTACATCGCTAAAAATTTTATTCATACCAATCCTCCTCTTATTTTCAAATTTTCCATATCAAAAAAAAGAAAAAAAGAATGCTATTTTAATTCTAAATCATATCTTCCATTCTAAAAATCTAGTTATATCTAAGCGTCATCCATTCTTTTAATCATATTCAAACAGATATATTAGACAGATAGTGCCTCCTCTGAAAAATCAAATCCTCTGTTTTTTAAAATCTAACTCTTGCTTTCTTTCTCTGCCAAGTGGCTTTCCAGGCCAAGGCAATTAAATCATCCCAAAATTTTCTTTCTATTTTTGTGAAAGCTGCTTGGCATGAGGAAGACAATTTAGGTAGAGTATTTTGGTGGGGGGAACTCCACCCAGCCACATTCCCTAAACATTTTCCCTGCCCACTTTATGTTCCATTTTCTAGAATCTTCTTCCTGTCCTCAGATGTATTTGGACAAAGGAGTAAGGGGTCTTTTGTATTTTCATTGTTATAGGTAGGTCTTGCAGTATTTTATTTGTATATGGCAGTCTATATTTCCCTTCTCCTATCTCCTCCATCTCTAGATCCATTTCTTCCATTTCTTCCACTTCATCCTCTGGTTTCTGGTTTGTTTGTTCATACTTTGTAGTCGTTATCTGGGAACTTTCCAGTTGTAGTTTCAATTTGGAGATTTGGTCATTTATATCATCTAGGTTATTTTTAGTCTCATGTTTTTTTATGTCACTTTGTGTGCAACAATTGTTTGGTGAATTAGCTCTAACATGGAGAATGTTTTCTTCTGAGAGGTATTTGTTTTTTCTTGAGGCATCATTCCTAGAAATTCTCTAGTGTCTCCAGTCTCAGTAAGAATGGAACAAAGTTTCCTCTAGTTTTCTAGTCTTTATATGTAGCCTTTATAATCCAGTCCTAATGGCAGTATTTTATAGTAATCCTTTGTCTCAAGTATCCTGAAAATTATCAGTCAGGTAAGGTTGTAATCCACAATGTTCCAAGTGTTCAAAATGTTCAACCTCCCTGCAGACAGATCTATTTAAAAGTCAAATTTTTCTTTCTTTCCCACTAGCTCTTGAGAGGAAGATCAGGATGATAAATATGCCAAAATATTTTCCTTTATTGCTAACTGTTCTCCCTTCAGCTGAAAATCACCAAGCAGCCAAGGGGCTAGTTATAGTACTATTCTCAAATCCACCACTAGAGGTCATTCAAAGTCCATTTTTCACTCTTAAAACAAAGGGTTGATTTCTTATATTTCTTATATTTCACCTCAATGTTTTCTTTTCCTAATAGAAAATCTTAACAATTATTTCAGTTCTCAAATTTATCAAAACTGTAGCTTTGTATTACTTTCACTTCAGTATTGTGTATTTCTGTCCCCCATAAAAAATTTAAAACACTGCTTCCTTTCACATCCGGAGGTTTTTAGCTTCTTGGGAGCCTTTCCCAGGAAATTCAGTTGTAAAATAGCAAAGAAAGGATCAATATTCTCACCCAGTTCCAAACATGCTGTTTACGATGTGCTAATTGAAGGTTTTGTTCTTTTGTTGTCAGCAGCTTATGGCCACCCGCAGAGGTGTGGCCGGTCTTTCCCCTGCCAGTTTAGAGGACTTTCCTTGGATCCAACGGAAAGACCCCATCTCTCCATGATCAACAAGGCACCCCTACTTCTTCATCGCCTCTTCGGGGAGACTTTAGGCCCTTTTCAGGGCCCCCAGCAGGGTGAAACCAGGCACGGAAGGCAGAACCCTGCCTTCCTGCGTCTGTCTTACTTCGATACAAAATAATATATATGATTTTCTGCTTGGTTGCCATATCATCCTCTTTTTTTCCTCCTTTTGTTCATGAAGCCTGCAGAAGTGAAAGAACTTCATAGGACACTCTAATTCTGCATTAAATTTTCATGTGGCAATGAAAATTGCAAGAGAACACATTGGATCCTTATACAGTATTGGGACACCCTCCCAAGCCTACAGGTGTGCTGATGGCTCTCACAGCAATGAATTCCTTAGACCTCTCTTTCCTGTTTTTTTTTTAAACTATGGAGCAAACTAAAACACTACTGAATCCACAGATTAGAAAGTACTTCCACAACTGGAGGAATTGGAGGAAATTTCAGTTGAGACTAATCTATTGATAATTTATTGAGAATAATCTATTTTGGGTGACATAGAAAAGAGGAAAAATGAAATATTTTCTATTAAGGTATCTCAGTATCAATTTCCAGAGAACTAGTTCACACTATTATGCATAAACTTATTTTTATTGATTTACTTGTATTTTAGTTCCTAAACTGATATTTATTCTGCTTTGTTCTACAGTTTAGTGGGTGGGAAAGCTGCAATGTTTTCTTTTTAAAAAAACCTGACAAATTACTTGCTGTCCTCCATCACTCTCATTCCATCTAACTCTTGTATTTTGAATCTGAAACATTCCTAAGGCAAAATAAAAGAAGAATAAAAGATATTGCTTCCCTATCCCTCTCACCCTACAGTGAGTGTACCTGCTGTAGACATAACATGTGCCCATTTGAAGTTAGTGGAGGATTGAATGATTTATTTGTTATATGGAATATAAATAGAAAGTTTTGTAAAATTCATCTTTTAGTTGGGAATGTGAGCATACAAAATATGATTTATATGAAGTATGAAGAAATTAGAGTGATGTAGAATTTTTCTTTTCTAGAGAATAAAAATTCCTTAGAAAATTGAATACTCTTTAAAAATGTGTTGTGAATTGATCAGAACCTTTCATTGTTCATGGTGGGCTCTAAGAAAAAATGCACTTGTTACAGCATGGGGAGCAGGGGAAGGAGATCAAATATGAGGTTACTTCCTGGATAGCATTGACCTTAACAGAATGCCCAGTGATTTTAGTCTAAAAGGGACATTTGATCGGTTGATAAAGTAGTTCTTCAGAAGTCTATTTTGAAAATACTGGATTGTAATCTGCAGGAAAAAAATATGAAATGTACTGTGCTGGTAACTATTCTGTTTCTTTGTGTTTTTACTAATATAATTGGAAGAATATTTGCCTTGATGGCAACCAGTTGGCTGGTCAACTGGTTATATGATTAGGTAGATAAGTCTAACACTATTATTTTGTGATCAAACTAAAACTGTTTTTCTCACAATGAACCACGTGGTGGCAGTGTTAGCAAAGAATTCATTTCTCTTCAGCATCTTGTTTAATTTCAACAGTAGAAGTTATTCAGTAAAGAGATAAAATTAACAGAGGAATCAGATAAGCACAGTTGAAAGAACAAAGCAACAAATAAAGAAGAATTCAAAGGATTTGCAGAATTAAATTGTAAAAGAAGGAAGTTAGAAGTTTTGCACTGGGGCAGAATTTGATCTTCTAATGAAAAATTGGAACCATGGAAAACTGCTTTTGGAGAAGGCAAGGTCTGTATTTCCTTCTCTTTTTCTCATTCTCTAAAGTAATGTGTACTTCAATTTCTTTTTCTATCCCTGAAGAAAAGAAAAAGGGATTTCTAGTGGCTAATGTGCTTAAAGATTTAAAACTGAAAACAAGGGAGCTCACAACACGCAAAGCACATCTAGTTTCTGATGACTCTGAGGAATATTTCCATCTTGACATCCCTACTGGAAATTTGTTGATTTATAATAAAATAGACAGAGAAACTTTGTGTGGCCAGAATGACCCTTGTTTACTTTTAACTCAAATTGTACTAGAAAATCCCTTAGACATCTTTAATATTGAAATCAAAATAGAAGATGTGAATGACAATATACCCAAATTTTGGAAAACCAAAGTGGAGGTGAACATTCCCGAGAATGTTCCTAAAAATACAACATTCCACCTGGAATCTGCTCAAGATGAGGATCTGGGAGAAAATAGCATTCAAAACTATACTCTCAGTCCTAATGAGCATTTTCAGCTTCAAATACATAAGCAGGAAGATGGAAGTAACAATATGTATCTTGCTTTGAAAAAAGGATTAGATAGGGAGAAGATGCCTCACCTTGGACTGACTCTAATGGCTATTGATGGTGGTATACCACAGAACACAGGTACAATGAAAATTAATATCAATGTGCTAGATATTAATGATAATTTCCCCAAGTTTAGTAAATCGGAATATAAGGTAAAAATAAAGGAAAACATTCTTAAGGGAACTTTGGTGACCAAAGTGGATGCTACAGACCTTGATTTGGGTTCAAATGCACAGATACTTTATTCATTTTATCAAGTGCCGGAAAGAATAAATAATTTGTTTCTTCTAAATGAAAAAAATGGAGAAATCACTGTTTGCGGTCAGATTGATTATGAAAAAGAAAAGATTTATAGCATAAACATCAAAGCCACAGATGGTGGGGGACTTTCAGAGCACTGCAAGGTATTGATAGAGGTTGAAGATGTGAATGACAACCCCCCAGAAGTGTCCATCATATCTCTGACCAGCTTCTTAAAAGAGGACTCTCCCCCAGACACAATGGTGGCCCTCTTCAGTGTTAGAGACCAAGACTCTGGAGACAACAGCAAAATGGTCTGCTCCGTGGAGATGAACCTTCCTTTTGTGCTCAAAGGCACCACAAACAACTTTTATCAGCTTGTGCTCCAAAGTCCCCTAGACAGAGAGACAGTCACTGAGTACAACATCACCATCACAGCCATTGACTGTGGCTCTCCTAGGCTCACTTCAACAAGATTGATTAATGTTCAGATCTCCGATGTCAATGATAACCCTCCTCTTTTTGAAAAGCCTTCATATGACATGCAGATCCGGGAGAATCATATTCCAGGCTTGTTCATCGGCTCAGTCCACGCTGTGGATCTGGACATAAAGCAGAATGCAAAAGTGACTTACTCAGTTCTGCCTGGGAAGGGTGATGGCCTTTTGCCCACTCTCATTTCAATCAACTCTGAAACTGGAAACCTGTATGCCCTCCGATCCCTGGACTATGAGCAGATAAGAGGCTTCAGAGTTACTGTGAGGGCCTCTGATGGTGGTTCTCCTTCCCTGAGCTCAGAAGTGATTGTCCGCATCCACATCATAGATGAAAACGACAACGCTCCCTTCTTCCTGTATCCCCTCCAGAACAACACATCCCCATGCAATGAGCTGGTTCCCAAGTCAGCCGAGGCCGGCTATCTGGTCACCAAGGTGGTTGCAGTGGATGCAGATTCTGGCCAAAACTCTTGGCTTTCCTATGAATTGCTGAAGGCCACGGACCCAGCCCTTTTCAGCATAGGAGCGCAGAATGGGGAAGTGAAAACCAGGAGAGCCCTGAATGAGCGAGACACAAACAAGCAGAGGCTGGTGATTCTGGTCAGAGACAACGGTCTTCCTCCCCAGACCAGCACGGCGTTGCTTAATGTCCTTCTTGTGGATGGCTTTTCGGATCCCTTCCTGAGGAGGGTGGATGTCAGTGTGCAAGAACCGGAAGAAGATAAAACCTTGACCAAGTATTTGGTGATCTGCTTGGCTGCTGTCTCCTTTGTGTTCCTGGTCTGTATTGTTGTGTTTGTTGTGGTCAAAATCCTCAAGAAGGACCCCCAAAGCCATTTTACTGCAGCTGTTCCTCACTTCCCACCTGCCAGTGCTGATGCCCCAGAGAACTGTGCAGATTCACAGAATGGGTCGCTTCCCAGGACTTACCGTTATGATGTTTGTTTGACCGGTGGATCCTTAAGTAGCGAGTTCCGATTTCTCAGGCCCCTCTTTCCTGTCTTTTCGGTGGGAGATGATAACCTCCCAGAGAACTCTCGGATATCTTCAGGCATCAAAGATACTTCTGAAGAGGTTGAAGATAATAGTGCAAAGAAAGAGGTGAGGAAGCACATACAATTAATCTAGTCCCTTACTTTTTCCTCTCCTTGTTTGCTTTTTTTGCTCCATTGGTTATTACTGAGTAAGTTGCTGTTTATCTACCAAAGAACCACGTGACTAGGTTACTTAATTTAAGATTTAGTTGAGTGTACATATTACCATTACTTCTGTAATTTTGTTCTAAAGTGCTTCTCTCTCTCTCTCTCTCTCTCTCTCTCTCTCTCTCTCTCTTTCTCTCTCGTATTTTCAGTTTTATGTGTATTATTTTATGCCTCACGCATTAGCATAAAATTGGGTAGGTTAATTAGTGATTCAGAGTATTTAGGGAAACAGGACAGTGCCCTAACATGCTCTATAAATAGGCCATCACTTTATATAAATGCAAGTACAAGTTACATAAACTCTAAAGCATAATATCAAGCCTGACTGGCAGCAAGACAGAATTTTGCAGCTTTCATATGTCAGTTTAGGCTCTATGTAGTAAGTAAGTAAATAAGTGATCAACATAAATAAATTTTGATTCATGGAATTTTACCGATTGTAGGCTAGAACAAAACATTACAAGTATTCTGCTAAAAGAAGGAGAATTGAAAAACTTGAGCTTCTATTACATCACCCAACAAGAGCAGATTCTTTCATATAATAATTATTTTTTAATGCCTATCTTCTATAATTGCTGAGGAAAGGACTGAATTCACAAAAATAAATACTCCGCAGAACTTCATTATGTAGAGGTTATTGAAGTAATTTCACATGGTTCTTGAAGATTCTATTGACATTAAACTCATGGAATTTCCATCATGATCTGATTGTTTATCAGTTTAAATTATCCTTTTCTTAATATTGCCTTACCTTCTTCATATCACACTGTAAGAGACATTTGAAATATATATTAAAATATGTATCACCTAATCTATTATATTATCACGTTGTTCTCCAATCAATTCATGTTTGAATAGATTTAATTTTGATATTGATTCAGGAAAAAAATATAATGATATCCTCGGGGCGGGGGGGGGGGGTAGAGGGAGGGAAGATGTGGAAGCAATAGCCATTAGGGTAAATAATGGCATGAGCTGAATGGGCAGTCCTTACACTTGAAATTTCAAAGGAAACAAAACGTAAAGGAAACTATCATACCCATGTGCCTTCAAGCTCACTTTGGTTGAGGATATATTGTGCATCAGGGTGGATAATTCATCCTTCCATCAGTCTGTCCGTCCATCCATCCATCCATCCATCTTCTCTGGTGCCTCTAATACTCAACTTTTTGTAATTAACAAGAGTCAAAAGTAGTGAATAGCACACCTTTTTACAGTTCTTCTTACTCAAATAACATGGACAAAGTTGGCAGACTATCAGTTGGAATATTTCATCTGGCCTGAATCTCACAGGATTTTGGTAATCTCACTCAAAAGACATAATATTCTCAGTTTAAATTTCACAATATCCCTTTCGGCATCAAAATTTCATGAGATCTTGTAATCTTGCTGTGAACATCAAAATAGTTTAATATTAATATTTGGTGGTTGAATGTATTAGATCATGCATGCCATTATGTTGCTGTTGTTATATACACATCAATCTGAAATCACAGCTGCTACTTCTTTAGCTGGTGTTGGCCTTCATATATATTAAGTTCTTCCTAAGAACCTAGGATGCTGTAATGGATTGACATAGTTAGTATATGTGCAGATTCACGCAGTGTGGCTTTTTGTAATTGACAGGTGGAAATTTTGTCAATGTGCATATTTTCTAGTGCTTTCCAGGATTTTGTTGTTATTGTTATTATCATACTGCCAATTTCTGGTCGATAAGGGATCCCTAAAAAGCTTTCAATGATAAAGAATTGTTCTGCAAAATGGAAAAGATTGGAGATTTCTGCTACAGATGATGACTACATCACTTCCCCATCTTCCATTCCCAATCTACCCCCTCCTCTTCTCTCAGCCATTCTTTGTAATCCACACTGGTCATTCCTTTTCATAATTATTTTACCAGCTGCCTGTTTAGGCGTTAAAAAGCAGTTTCCGTTCAGACTAATGTAATATTTTATTTTGCCTTGATCCAATTGTCTCAATTAAATAGAATTTTCTGAGAAAGCATAATTAGCAGTCTAATTACAATACAATGTAGGCAATTGAAGTTCTTCCTGTCAGCATTCCTAATATAAAGACAAACAGCGATCTATACTCAGTCCTGCTTGATACTTGCTCTTTCTTCATCCTATTTGTATTCACTTTATTATATGGGGTATATCATGGGAAACATAAAAGTTGTATGTAGTAGAAAGAGATTACTTATAAAGTGTTCTGTAAAAGGAGATAGGATTAATTAAAGTGTGTAAAACACAAAAGTTAAAGAGCAACAAAAATGTGTTGAGGTGATTTGGTCAGAGAGAGCAAAATATACAGATAATTTAGAAATACAATACAAATAGAAATAATTATCTATAAAGCAACTTAATCCAAAGGCTGTCTAAATAATAGCAATGATTTTAGACTTATACATCACCTCATAGCACTTTACAGCACTTTCTGGGAGGTTTACAACGCAGAAGCATTATTCGCATATTGCTTCCAACAATCTGGGTCCTCATTTTACTGACCTCAGAAGGATGGAAGCCTGAATCAACCTTGAGCCCCATTAGGATTGAACTACAGGCTGTGGAAAGACTTTGCTGGTAATACTGCACTTTTAAGTACTGAGCCACCAGGGCTCTAAAATTAATATTAATTTTCTAATTCTTAAAATTTTATTAGTTTATAATACATGATACAATGGAAAAGCAAAAGTAAATAGTGGGAAAAAAGGGAATAGAGAAGTGAAGTAAGGGAGAAAAAAAAAACGACATTGACTTCTGACTTCTTTGATGCAGTAGAGCAGAGCTCCCCAATGTTTCCGGGTTGGCGGCCGGAGGGAAAGGGAGGAGCAGAGAAATGTGCATGCGCGTGCCCCCATGGTGCATGCACAAGCAGGTGCATGCATGGTGGGGTGCCAGCGCCCATGTGTATGCACTCCTATGTTAACTTTATTAGGCAAAAAACAACCTGGCAAGTTTGAAAGAAAGCTAACTCTAAAGCTATGGTGGGAAAGAGATAATTAAAAGAGTAAAACTTCCCCTCCTTTTTCTGACAGTTCAGGTCACATTGTCCAATGTATCTTCTGGCTATTGTTATGAGAAGATAATTCATCAAGACAACTCTCCAGCTCTCACATTGATAAGGAGCACCTGTGAATTCAAAACTTTCCCCTCTCTCCCTCCTGCACTGTTGGCAAGCTAAGAGCATGCACCGCTCCTAAAGACAGTAGGCTTCGCAGCTTGACATCATGATTCTCACAAACTAGTTCTTACATTTGATTTAGCCTTTTCCTTTTTGTCAATGTTTTCAGTTCCCTTTTCAAATAAAGAAAACATTAAATGTCCTTGTTTATTAGCACTGGCCATGAAAGCATGATATATGTTTCCATTGTTTCCATTTAACATTTATTTGGTAGTTGTAGCCAGCATTCTTCATTTCTTTCACCCATCCTTTCTTGTGTCTTTTGATATTAGCCCTTTGCTGGGTAATAAAATGGGGGGGGGGTGTTTCCAGTGGTTAAAGATGCTGAGCTTGTCAGCTGAAAAGCTGACAGTCTGAATTCAAGACCTGAGTGCCACATGATGCGGTGAGCTCCCCTTACTCCTGCCCACTTAGCAGTTTGAAAACATACAAATGTGAGAAATAGGTACCACTTTTCTGGGAAAGAAACAGCATTCTGTGTGCCTTTGAAGTTTAACCATGTTGGCCACATGATCATGGAAATGTCTTTGCACAATGCTGGCTCCCTCAGCTAAGAAATGGAGATTTGGAAGATTTGAAAATGACTGGACAGGGGAAACCTTTACTTTTATAATAGAAGGATATATCTAGAGAACAGAATAGATAATAAAGAAATTCTCTTCTTTTTAAATAAACCTCAGTTTAATGTTGCTTTGGTCAGTTACCAGTTACAGATATAAAGGAAAAAAATATTACATAATCATGCATTTTAATGGTTTTAATATTGTTAGGGATATTAGCTGTCTTTCCCATTTTTGTGTCCTTTGAAGACCTGAAAACAATCCTTCCTCTTCTTCATTCTTGCACTCAAAATGTTGAAGAGTTTCTTTGTGGCTCAAAACCTTCCATCAACTTCCTTTATGAGGAACCAGCAATAAGTTATTAATTCTTTTGCATTCCAACTAATACGAAACAATTAAGATTGATGGGTGAATGATGCTAATACGAAACAATTAAGATTGATGGGTGAATGGATGGGTAGATTCAAAAGCATCTTTATAATTTGCTAATGTTAGACAGATGATATTTTGGTCAGTGATCAAATAAAACAAATCATATATAAATTGAATACAAAAGACAACAAAGAAAAGACAAAGCACATAAGATAAGTGAACAGATATGAGTATGTCAGTCACATATAGTATTTGTGCACATTTACAGCAGTTCTACAGAAGTTCATTACATATGGATAATTGCACTTTTCTTGTCTAACAGAAGGACATTATATGAAATACTAATGAAGCTACTAGTTAAAATCATTATACAAGATTGTCAGACTTGTTTTAAGAATTTTGTGTCATGTTTTTGAATGGGTGATTTCATTAGTAATTCATTTCTCGATTTGGGAAAACCAAGCTGATACCATAATCATTATGTTCTTTTTAACAATGATCTCTTCACAAGATTATTCATATATCTTATCAGATATGTTAAACTGATTTGCTTCCTGCATTTTTGGATCCTCCTTTCCCCCCTTCATATAGATGGATAAAATGTTGACCCCCTTCCAGTCATCTAGGACTTTGTCTGTTTCTGAAATACAATATGTAATATCACTAGGGAACAGGGGAGAATGTATTTGGAAAAAGACTGGCCCAACTCATCAGGGCGAATTGGCCCAAATTGAGGGCGAAAGGTGACCAATCTGCAGAATCTCTAGAACCCAAAACCAATCAC